TTTTTTTTTTTTTTTTTGAAGAATACTCACTGGGAACGCTAAGTCCAGATGAACAGAATCAACTTTTGGAGACTCACTGGGAAAATGTTTAGTTCTAAATGCTTTTACATTTTAAGGTTTCAATCCTGCAGCTATTTAGCTCAGCAAATAAAGCCTAAAGTCTGGAGAAAAAGACATGCAACTGTCGAGTCTACTGTCTGCTGCAGTCTTACTGAGGCTAACGCTGTACTCACATTCAGAATCCATGTTGATTTTCAGCGTCGCCAGTCTGGACACAATATCATCTTCCTCTTCCACATCGCCGAAGTCAAATCCAGTGTAGCCCTTCTCCTTCACACAGTAGCTGATGAACCTGTGAACAAAAAAGCAAAAATTAAGAAAACGTGAACGAGAAATGCTCAAGAAATGTGCATTCCCTGTTAACTGGGCAAATTTTATACAGCCCTAAGGCTCCAAAATGGCAAAAAAGTGAACAATTTGAGGTTGTTTTGTCAGCTGCTAACAATGAGGTTTCACTTTCGGTAATCACTACGTTTACTCAGTGCCTCCCAAAACATCTTGCCTTCGCTTACTTCTCCCATGTTGGGTCCTTCTTGAGGATCACAGGGTTTCCCACCACTATAAGCAGGGACCTGGCTCTCGTCAAGGCTACGTTGAACCTCTACAAGTGAATACATGCATATAAAAAAAGAATATATTAGTAATTTATTCAACCATTAAACAAGCAGCAGGCTTTCTTATAAGTTTAAATGATGTGACAAACCTTTTCATTTGACAGGAATCCAATATTGAAGTCTCTGTCCATCTTGACATAGTTGATGCTGCTACGGACGGTGGAGACCATAATGATCTTCCTCTCTTGTCCCTGAAACTCCTCCACAGAGCCGACCTGATATTATAAAAAGAAGAGGGGGGGGGGGGGGGGACTTTACCATCTACCATCTAATAAAACTTTAATCTTATAACTGTTAAATGCATCCTCAATAATTAAATTACACTTCTGATTAGAAATGAACAGCAGATCAATCTTTTGATTACATCTTATTAAAACAATTTAGAAGACACTGAAAATGAGCATCTTAGGTTTGCATGGGGGCATCTAACCATATTAACTGACACAGATCGTTTACAGCAGAGCTGCTAACCTTCAGCTCTTTGAGATCACTCCAGCGACTCAGCGCTGGGACAAATCTCAGGGCCTTCTGGATTTTCTCAACCTGTTAGCAAAAAGAAAAGCAGTCATGGGAAGTTATGAATGAACCAAACAACCTCCTTTTATCCTCAGTCATTTAACACAAATGTGCACCATGCATATTCACTTGTTTTCTGTAGGGGGCGATTATTCCGATGTCTGTTGCGGACAGTTTGGGGAGACCCTTCTTTCCTTGCGTTTCCATCAGTTTGGTGAGGTAGTCGATCAGGACTTCAATCTCAGACACGTTGAAGAAAGACGGACTGTTCGCCTCTCTCTCATCTTTGCCCATCACTCCATGGAAGATCACTGGAAACCCCTGTAGTGGGGTAGCACTGTCAGTTATTCTTGTTAAATATGGTTCAAATACAATTTGGCGACTGACTCCTTAGTGAAATTAAAAATGTGAATTAAAACTACATATGAATTGTACACGTGAGCACTCCCTTAAGGTCTATGAAGTTTTAAGAAAAACACGAGTTGTTTTCATGTTTTAATATTTACTTTGTTTCAGCCAGTCTTTTTTCTTCCATCTTCAGCATCCTTTATCCAAAATATATCCACTATCCCTCCTCTGGACATCTCCAAAACAAACCCCTGCAAACTTCGTCTCCAAAACCAGTCAACCAAACTTGTCCCTCTGATATACTCATTTCTAATCTGGTCCCTCATGTACCAGCAACTTCCATCTTGGCCCTCTGTCTCCACCCACTCCACCCTGCCTGCGCCTCCTCCTTCACCTCTCTTGTGCACTTTTTTGTTGCTTTGCATAGACGAGACCCATCTCACCCAGCTTCACTACGTCTGCTCCCTCTCATTCAAACATATGTCATCTATCTTGCTTCTACTGACTTTAGCATACCTCCACCTTTCCTCTACTCACGGATCACAGTGTGGTCCGTGAACATCACAGTCCTCTTGTGTAACCTCAATTGTCAGCAGAGGCTCAGAGCTAATCCCTGATGTAATCCCACCTCCACCTTAAACTCACCTGTCACTCCCACACACTTCACTAGTGTTTTGCTGTTCTCACGCACGTCCCGCACCACCCTCACATACATCACTGCCACTCTTGACTTCCTCATTCAGTACCACAGTTCCTCTCTAAGCACCCTATCACATGGTTTCTCTAGATCCACAGACACAGTGAAACTCCTTCTGACCTTTTCTATACTTCTCTGTCATCACTTTCAAAGCAAACATTGCATCTGTAAATCTCAGATGCACTTTACTATTTTATTTATTCGTGTTCATCACAGTTTTTTATTTTAAAACTAATGTATGATGAAATCAGAGTTGACAAATACAGCTTTGCATCTAATCATATGCTTTGCGGATGACTTAGGGGAACAAAAAAACAAAAACCAAACAAAATAAATGAAATGTTCCTGAGGCCTCACCTTCTTCGGAAGGTATTCCCAGTTGCAATAGGTCTCACGCTCCCATTGGTCAGCAAACACCTGCAATTCATTCTCATAGAACAACTCATTGGGGATTTTCAGAATAGCACTGTGTGACCTGAGTAAACGGGAAGGAAAAAGAAGAACAATAAAAAAAATGATGAAGCATTATTGGTGATTAACACAGCAGCACAAGTAAAAAATGGCTTTGACAAGAAATAGCTGAGAGACCCACCTGTAGTTTCGCAGCAGTTTGGTGACAAAGCGAGTGTCAAAATGCCCGTCTGTATTTTTCTGATATAACGAATTATGTCTCATCAGCCTCTCCAGTAGAGAAAGCCCTAGAAAGTATTCATGATACAGATTTGAATTCATGTTAATCTGAGAAAAACTCAAATAACTGAAGCAGCACTAAGCATTCATTTGATCCTAAACTTATTACCAGTGAAAACTGCCAGGGATACACAGTGATGCAACTAACACCATCTGATCAGAAAGAAAAGAAAATGAGACCACTGGACTTACCGAGTCCATGTTCTATTGCTAAAGGAGATCGAAGGATTGGTCCCAGCTGCTTAGGATCTCCTGCCAGTACCAGCTGACCTTTCTCTGCATCGAGCAGACCTGTGAAACAACATAAATGAGTCTGTAACAAGGTGCATCAATTTCAGCACTTGCAAGTTATGACCTTTAATCACGAGAACCGATTTACTGAGGAAGTGTAATGTGTAAGAACAAATTAATTTACTACTGCTCTGACTTAAGGTCACATATATGCAGAATTTGTAAGCTGTAAAAGTCTTAACCCATACATTTTATTTATTTATTTATTTATTTTACAGCCTTTAGCTAGCTTTGGAGAAAACAAAATTTCTACAAATGCTAATTATATTCTGCCTGTACTGATGAATGTCACACTGAAAGCTGTGTGCTTTCAGAGAAGGCACATGAATAAAGCAGCTGGGATGTGGATAAAGCTCTGTAATCAGATAAGTGTATATATGAAAGGTCCATGTACTGCATTAATACCAGATTTAATGAAAAAAAAAACATATTTAACAGGAAGTTGGATGTAAGAATTTCAGATTCTTGAAGGTTTCACAAAAGACTTTATTTATGTAGCGCCAATTCAACAAAAGTCCCCACAAGGCGCTTTATATCGTAAGCCCCCTATGAGCAAGCACATGGCAACAGTGGGAAGGAAAAGTGAAGCCTTTCAGCATCACTCACAGATCTGAATGTTTCTAATTTTAACGTGCAAATGAATGAAGGCAGTCCTACATATTTGCTTAGTGTGCATGGTGAAGGACATCATGATGAAAAACATGTAGTTCAGACATTCATAGTTTACCTGCAATAGCAATGACACACTCTGGCTCTACAGCTTGGCCTCCCTCATCCACAAACACATGCGAAAAATGGCCAACTGGGATCCCTCCAGACACAAGCCTCACAAAGACACGAACACACAGCAGCATAATCAAGTGCCGCATGGCTCATAACACGAAAAATGTGCCAGATGTCAAAGAGTGTTTAAAAACACATAATGGATACTTTACATGCCACACACTGGCTCTTACCTGCCAGCTGTGACCATAGTTGTAACTACGACTTTGTACTTCATCGTAACCTCTTTCTGTGGAGGCACAAAGCTGTCTTTGCTCTCGTCCCAGTTACAGTATTTCTGAAAGAACCCAAAAAAAATATGAGAACATAACCTATTGTTCAGCTTTCCCATAGTGATTACAATCACTGATTCCTCAGTGTGATCATGAGAAATCTAGTGAAAATGCGGGCATATTTATGGGGCTTGCTGAGACAAGAGAATGCAATAGCACTCTATTTCACATGTAATTCTTAAACATTATGGGCTGTGTATATGTAGCTCACCAGCAGACTCTTGGGAACGCTGTTTGGGTCTCGGCTGCTGGCGTACACGCGGTAAATCTGATGAGAATCCATGTTTACTTGTAGTCTCTCACAGAGCAGGTCGCATGCACTGTTTGAAGGTGCACAGGCGAGGATGCGGGCTGATGGATCTGCCTTGCTGACCTGACAAGACGAGCAAAATAAAAGTCATTACTTAATAAAAACAGGCTTGTGTGCGAAGACATAACATGGTTTGTAGGGAGCCACAGGCCTTTGCCTCACACCCAGCAGGACCCGGTCTGCGGCTGTCACTTATTTCAGAAAGGCACCTAACCTGGCAGATGTGCACAGAATTCAAAGTACATTGCACCAAGGACATACAGCCACAGTATTAGTCCTATAGTAAGTACAAATTTCTGAGAAACAGTTACAACATCACAGATAACGTCACAAATTACAGCATTGTTGAATTTTGCAAGCCCTTTATGTTAAAGTTTGGTTTCCAGTTTTTTTAGCGTTTCCTGAAGTGAATCAATTCCAAAATATCCCACCATTTATCCAGTTCAGAGTCACTGTGGGGCTGAAGCGCATCCTAGTTGTCACAGAACGAAAAGCAGCTTACACCTTGTACAGTTTACCAGTCTTTTGCAGGCCCAACACAGAGAGATAAACAAGTGTTCATACTAATATTCACCCATGCGGACAATTTAAAAATCACCAATTAACCCAACTCACATGTTGTTGGACTGTGGGAGGAAGCTGGAGTATCCCAGGCAAGCATGGACAGAACATGCCTACTCCAGGACTGTCCTTGCTGTAAAGCAACTGTGCCGACTGCGACATTTGTTGGCAATGTAAAATCTCTAAATTGAAAGTACTAATACTCATAATACTCGAGAGCAAATAAGCAACTGGTTCAAAAAAAGAAAAATCTCTTAGTGTGTTTCTAATATACAGCGAGATATCTGGGAATCACCTTACAAACATCCCAACACATGCTGATTCCTATGCAAAATCTGTCTTGCAAAGAGAAATCTCACTTGTGTAAGTTAGTTGTATAGACGCAGGTCACCTGTTAACTGGAAGGCTCATAGTTTGATCCCTGGCTGCAACCCAAAGTAGGCCAAGATACTGAATGTGACTGTTCATGAAGTGTGAATATTAGACAGAAAAGCACTTAGCATAAATGTGTGAATGGGGGCATGAGGCAAGTTGTATAAAGCACATTAAGTGCTCAGAGTAGAAAAACACCAAAGAACCACCCATCAACCTTTTACCCAATTTAGACCTGTGAGAAAAAAATAATAAAACCTAGGCCTCCAGTGGTCCTGAACTGGACCAGGAATCAAGAAAATAAATGGATGGAATAATAAAGAAAATATCAAAGATTCTACTCAAAGTAACAATATCAAATGCCTTGTTCAAAATCCAACAGCTTTAAATTTGTTACAATGTAACAGCCAATGAAGAACTAATACGTTTTCTGGCAACTCACAAGTAAGATATCTGATTAATCTCTGAAGATCTCATTCATACAGATCTTAACTGCATGTAACTTTATACCTGATTGATTGCTTCAACCACAGTGATTGTCTTTCCAGTTCCAGGAGGCCCAAACACAAGATGAGGAGCTGGTTTCGATGATCCAGCTACAATGCGCTGGACTGCAGCATGTTGCTCCGGGTTGTTTTCCAGCTGTCGATTAAACATCCTGGAAAGAGATGTAGAAATGGATTTTTGACACTTAGCATAAAAAGGTGTGTAAATGTGTGTTTAAAAACCTGTTATGCACCTTGTGCCCATTTGGTTTATGGCATTAAACCAAAGAGCAGTAATCCCTCCTGTTAATACAACATAGTGGCTAAATGCCCAGGAAAACAACAGAGAAATGCTGCTGAGCCCACACTCTCATTTTCAGAATCTCACTGTTCTCCGACCACCAGTACCAGGCAGAATATACGGTAGGACACAGTACAATTCAATGTATCCGTAACATAAAACCCTACATGGCCAAGCTCCCGCAAATATAGCAGATTACTGAGACCTTAGACCAGCTGGTCTCTTCTTTATTTCACTTCATTATTTGTGGTCTGTTTTTCCTTCTAATATATATGTACAGGAGTGTGTATGTATTAATGAAAGACCATGTGTTAGCATTTCTGAGGATCTACACTTATCTTCACTTTTGTGTTTTGATCCAAAACTGTGAAGCACTTTGTAACTTTTTAAAGGTGCTATACAAATAAAGTTATTATCACTATTGTCATTAAATGTGGTTAAGTGTTGTATTTTTAGATTATGCAGTGCATACAAATAGGCACCGGACCTGAGTTTAGGCATGGGCACACTAGCCACTGCTGCACCCGATGGAAACAGCACCTCCTCAAGTTGATGTTTTACTGCCAGGTCTACAGCCCTGTGTTGTAGCTTCAAAGGGTACCGGTTGAGAGTAAACTCCACATTAAACTTCATATTGCTGATAAAGATCTGCAACAACCTGAAATGATTGAAAAGTAAGCAACAAGTTTCTCATTGTGGGTTCTTAGTCAACATATCATTATTCTAGCTCATACTTTTTTGAGAAACCCAGCTTCACACTGTCCAGTTCTACTCTGTGAACATATCCAGTATACACAGTAATGGGCTGGACGGTGTCCTCAGATTTGGATACTCTCAGACAATCTCCACGAAGCACAGATGGCCGATTCTCAGCGACACCGGGAACCTGTCGGACAACATCGATGTTGGGCCATTGATATGTTTTTTAAAAAACTACAAGTCTGCAGGTGATTCAGATGGGTAGATATGACAAGCTAAATAAACAAATCTGTGTATGAGAACTAGATCGCAAAATCATCTGTACAATAAAACGGGAGGAAGATCATCTAGCTCCTTCATTAAGAATACAAGGTCCCAAACAAATAAAATGCATTCTGAAGTTTACTGCCAAGAAGCACAATTTACAAGTGAATTCAATGCTTCAGAGATGCCAGCTGCTCCAGCAAAAATATAGCCACTGCAAACACAGAGCATAGCAGACGGTGTTCTAATTCAAATCTCTTTACTCTGAGTTTCAGGAGTTTTCTGTTGCCTTGGTCTTGAGTCATGGTTTGATTGAGGAGATCATACTTTCGGATGTCCACCTCCATCTGTATCTCTTCAAGGTGCAGCAGGAGGTGAAACCGATGCGAGTAGTTCTTCATCTTTAAGGGACAACTGAGGAGACCCCTGGATGTCAATGCAGAGGTAAACGGTGCATTTAACATTGGGTTAGTTCTATAAAATACTCAACACAGAAAACGCATAGCTGGTTGTAATGAATTGGGTGATTTGCTTACTTCACTGATGCAAGTTTCTGTTTGGCAGTTGGAGAGAGGTACTCGGAGTCTTCAATCCTTCGTCTAGCCAAATCCTTCAGGTCATTATGATACTTGTAGTCTCCTAATTTCACTGCCATCTTCAAAGGCACAACAGAACTGCAGAAGTAGAAAACAAAACACCATATGGCTGTGATCAGTTTCAAAAGACACAAGGTTGATAAACCACCAGGGACAACTTGTTGATCTAAAGTCCAAGTGAGCAAAAATGCTTCAAAGTAATTTTTACAATCAGTTTTGAAATTCATTACCTGTCAGGTGGTACTCCATCTACTATAATGGTGTCAACAGGCTTGTAAGCAGCCACCCGAAATGGTTTATAAGGAGCCACAGGCCCTAGCTCCACAGCCAGTGGAGTGTGGGCTGCAGCTTCTATCTCCCTGACAATGCAGAAGGGCACCGATCCAGGCAAATCTGGGCAGAACTCGAAATACATTGTGGCAGGGAAATATCCATAGTGGTTCAGAATGTACTTAACCTCAACTTCATAGCTCGCTCCTGGAGGGAAAAAAAGACAAAAGAAAAAAAAAAGGAAGAATTTGTGAACATTAGCTAGTTTATTTCTCTCATTTCTAAAGGCAGAGAAGAAGTCCTCAGTGTCTCACCAGGACAGAGAAACAGCGGAGATGCTCTGGTCACTCTCCTCTTATCCTCTAGAGTGAAACAGCGGATCCTGTGCAGGGCAGTGTAGTACGTCAAGTGGACGTTGTCAGTGCCTTTATTGACAATGTGGAACCTGACAACAAACGGCTCCCGCAGGCGATCCACAGCGAACTGAACCTTCCCACCGCTCTCCACGGGGTCTGATGTGATCTCGATGCCGCCCTTATCAGCCGTGTGCTCTTTCCTGCAGGTGAAGCAAGATCAGGCTGCAATTTTAACAACGACAAGACAAGATGGTGCCGAATCACTGAAAAACCAGTGTACCTGGTAAATAAAACGTAACCTTTCATCAACCCCACTTATCCCATGACTGTCTGCTATTAAACAGGTAGAAGGTAATAAAAAAAAAAACCCTCAGATGCTCCTGAAAAGAAGCCTTTTTACCTCCATAGTGGATTCATATCATGGATTATATGATCTTTGTGACTGAGTGATATGAGTAAATCACTGACACCCAAACTGGCAACGATTCATTTTACACAGGAATACTTCACCACTGACTCAGATTAAAACTGCTGTGCAGTTAAAACTTTGCACAGGACTGTATTTATGCAGGGAAGTTAAAAAAGGATCACGAAACAACAAAAGTGTAACTCACAGACAGGTTTTACAGTTCTGGAAAATTACCACAGTTGGAACCAGTTTATCGCTTCTCATCTCATCATCTTCTATCTTTTCCCTTTGACTTGTATGTCATAAAACAAAGTGCTGATTATCAGTTCTAAAAAAAACCCTCCTGATAAAGCCAGTTCTCAGGAATATCATGAAGGTTTTTTTTTTTAGCTCATGTCTTGTTTTCTTTGAGTCAGTCTTTGTCTCATCTGCAGGTGGTTTACAGTGAAGCAGAGAGACTCCTCAGTCATACCAAGAAGACAAAGCAGCTCTCCCCTGCACTGGCCTCA